ACATTGGGCGCCATTTTGGAATTTTTATTTGTATGCAAATATTGTTATACAAATGCACAATTTTCATATTCTGGAATATTGTGCTAACCATATTCAAATGGGAGTATTTTATATTACTAGGGCCACACATTGGGCGCCATTCCCAAATTTCAATATAAAGAACACAAAATTAATGCCATCATGTCTCCCACATGGTTGAAAACCGAACTGGTCCTAAACAAATTGAGAAATAAATTATAAAATTAAAATTCACCTTGGGCGCCATTTTTCTACTTGTCACATAACTCCCATTTCGATGTGTTACTGGTCAAATTAATTCCCCATTTTATAAAGACATAGAATAACGATCTCCACAGAACACAAAATGTATTATTTATGCCCAACATGGGCGCCATTGGCAAAAAAATATCATAATTTCGCCGAACAAAGTGCAGAGGTATGAATTTCAAATTTTGGGAATTTTGTACTAACCAAAATAAGACTGAGCTAGAGCACCGGGGACCCACATTGGGCGCCATATCCAAAATTCATAATTAATAACATGCAAATAATCCCATTATGTTTCCCATATTGACGGAGTTGAATCGTTGATCAAAACAACGTGAGAAATAAACTATAAAATTAAGATTCACATTGGGCGCCATTTTACTACTTATCACATAACTCCCATCTCCATGTGTTACGGGTCAAATTAATTTCCCATATTTAAAATGGATACCATCAGGATATCCGTAGAACATAAAATATGTTATTTATGCCCCACATTGGGCGCCATTTTCAAACAAATATCATAATTTCGCCGTTCAAAGTGCAAAGGTATGAATTTAATTTCATGGGTAGAACCACGATCTCCACAGAATACAAAATATATCCTTCTGACCCCATATTGGGCGCCATTTTCAAACAAACATCATAACTTCGACGTTCAAAGTGCAAATGCATGAATTTCATATTTTGGGAATTTTGTACTAACCAAAGAAAAATTGAGAAATTGCACCAGGGACCCATATTGGGCGCCATTTACAAAAATCATTATAAAAAACATGCGATTACTGCCGTCATGTTTTCCACATTGTTGAAAACGAAATTGGGCCCAAACAAATTTAGAAATAAATTTTGAAATTAAGATTCACATTGGGCGCCATTTTGCTACTTTCACATAACTCCCATTTCGATGTTTTGCTACTTTCACATAATTCCCATTTCGAGGTGTTACGGGTCAATTTAATACCACATTTTATAAAAGGATCGAATTACGATATCCATAGAATACCAAATATATTATTTATGCCCCACATTGTTCGCCATTTTCAAACAAATATCCTAACTTCACCATTCAAAGAGCAAATTTATGAATTTCATATTTGGGGAATTTTGTACTAACCAAAATAAAACTGAGGTATATATCACTAGGGTCCCGCATTGGGCGCCACTTCCAAAATTCATTATAAAGACAATTGCATGGTCTTGCCATCATGTCATCATGTTTTCCAAATTTTTAAAAGCGGGACTGGGCCTAAACAACTTGAGAAATAACCTACATAATTAAGATTCACATTGGGCGCCATTTTATTACTGATCACATAAATCCCACCACCACTTGATACGGGTCAAATTAATTTCCCTTTTTCAAATGGATAGAATCACGATCTCCATAAAAGACATAAAATATTTTATTTAGACCCCACATTTGGCTGCATTTAAAAAAAAATCATAGTTTCGACTTTGAAAGGAAAACCATTAAATCCCCAGATTGGGCGCCATTTCACAAATAATCGCCGCCATTTCATTTCTCACACATTACTCTTCATCGAGACTCTAATCACTTATTAACTGTCTCGCTGTTTCAACAAATCGAGACCCTGTTATTACGATGAAATCAAGATCTCTATGGAACACAAAATATATCCTTTAGATGCCGCCCAATGGGCATTTTACAACAAAAACCTGTACTTCGCCGTTTAAAGAGTAAAAAGAAAAACATTTTATCCCCCCAAATTTATTTTTGAAATGGACAACAAATACCTTAAATTCGCCTTTTAAATTGAAAAAACAACAGAAAGATTAGATCCCCACATTGGGCGCCATTTTACAAATAATCGCCGCTATTCCATTTCTAACACATTACTCTTCAAAGAGATCCGATTAACGTAGTGACTGTGTCATTGAATCTTCAAATCGAAAGTCTATGTTACGATAAAATCACGATCCATACAGAACACATAGCCCCACATTGGGCGCCATTTCACAACAAATACCTTAACTTCGCCGTTTAAATGGTAAAAAGAAGAAGTATCAGATCCCCACTTTGGGCGCCATTTAACAACTAATAGAAAGCCTTTATTACGATTAAATCAGGATCTGTATTAAACACAAAATGTATCCCCACGTTGGGCGCCATTTCAAACAAATATCATATCTTTCCCTTTTAAAATGCAAAAAAAGAAATATTGAATCCTCACATTGGGCGCCATTTTACAACTTATAGCATAATCCCCTTTCTCACCCATTACTCCCACTCCCATAGTAACTCTGGCGCTGAATCATCAAATCAAAGCCCTCTTTATGAAAAAATCTGGATCTCTATAAAACACAAAATATATTATATATCCCCACGTCGGGCGCCATTTCAAACCAATATCATATCTTCCCATTTAAAGTCCTAAACAAGAAACATCGAATCCCCACATTGGGCGCCATTTTACAACTAATCGAAATCCTTTATTACAATAGATTTAGAATCTCTTTAAAACACAAAATATATTATATATCCCCACGTCGGGCGCCACTTCAAACCAATATTATATCTTCACCATTTAAAGTGCTAAAAAAAACATAGAATCCCCATATTGGGCTCAATTTTAAAACTAATCGAAATCCTTTTTTACAATAGATTCAGGATCTCTATAGAACACAAAATATATTATTTCGATCCTGAATTGGGCGCCATTTTACAACAAATATCATAACTTAATTGCCATTCTTATAGTGGGTTGAATCAGGATCTCCATAGAACACAAAATATATTATTTAGACCCCACATTGGGCGCCATTTCAAACAAGTATCATAACTTCGCCTTTTAAAGTGCAAAAAAGAAGAAATATCTCATGTTGGGCGCCATTTTACAACTAATCGACGAAATTCCTCCTTAACGAGATCCCACTCACGTAGTAACTCTGACGCTGATTCATAAAATCGAAACCCTTTATTACAGTGCTTTCTCTCTCCCCCATCCCCCAGTATTTCCGTTGAAATTACGAAATATTTAACAGTACTTATCATGTACAGTCATGTACTCGCACACACACACACACAGTCATTCATATCAATATTTATGCCTTTTGTAAATTACAATTGTACTACGAGGAGGGCAGGGTATTCTATTTTCAAATCACTTTAAATGCGGGTAATTTTCAAATTAAATGTCCGCATGTAGGCTGATATTGTTGTCGTTGGCTATTCTTTCACTTTGCAGAGTTGTGCGGACATGTCAAGCCTGTTTACAGTTTACCAATTATGTGGGCAATGCTAGACGCGACTATATAATGAAAGAATGAATGACTGAATTCCCAGCAATTATGTGGAATCACGAACAAGACAGCCAGTAAACGGAAGTAAAGATTTTTTTGAGGAAGAAACAAAGAGAAATGAAAATTATCTTTCGGAGAGAATGTTTGGGACTTAAAGAGTTACTGCCAGGGGAATATTTAAGGTCATATGGGTTACATAGCATAAATGGCGCCCAAATGTTCAGTTCTTTTTTCAGTTCTTTTTTTTTTTTTGAATTTTCCAAACCAAAAAATATTAAAAAACATAACATTCCTGTTTACAGATCTGATTTTTTCCTCATTTTTTTCAAAAAAACAGTTCTTGATCCTTTTTTTTTTTTTTTGGAATTTTGCTAACATTTTTTTAAATCCACATTTTTTCAGTTCTTGATACTTTTTTTTTAAATTTCCAAACCAAAAAATTATAAAAAAAGGAACTTTCCTTTAAAAATCATTAAAAACTTCTGTTTACAGCTCTGATTTGTTCCTATTTTTTTTTTAACAGTTCTTGATCCTTTTCTTGGAATTTTGCTAACATTTTCTAACTCCCCATTTTTTCAGTTAGTGATACTTTTTTGAGTTTTCCAAACAAAAAAATATTAAAAAACGTAACTTTCTTTTAAAAATCCTTAAAAACTCCTGTTTACAGCGCTGATTTTTTCCTCATTTTTTCAAAAAACAGTTCTTGATCCTTTTTTTGGAATTTTGCTAACATTTTTTTTACTCCCCATTTCTTCAGTTATTAATCCTTTTTTGTTGAATTTTCCAAACCAAAAAATATTGAAAAACGTAACTTTCCTTTAAAAATCTTTAAAAACACGTGTTTACAGCTCTGGTTTTTTCCTCAATTTTTGTTTCAAAAAACAGTTCTTCATCCTTTTTTTGAATTTTACTAACATTTTTTAAACTCCCCATTTTCTTGATACTTTTTTTTTTTTTTTGAATTTTCCAAACCAAAAAATATTAAACAAAAATTTTAAAATCCTTAAAAACTGCTGTTTACAGCTCTGATTTTTTCCTCAATTTTTTTTTTCAAAAAATAGTTCTTGATTCTTTTTTTTTTTTTTTGGAATTTTTCTAATTTTTTTTAATTCCCCATTTTTTCAGTTCTTGATCCTTTTTTTTACTTTTTTTTTTAATTTTCCTTTAAAAATCCTTAAAAACTCCAGTTTACAGCTATTTTTTTTTTTGTTTGAATTTTGCTAAAATTTTTTTTAACTCCCCATTTTTTCAGTTCTTCATATTTTTTTTTTTTTTTTTTTTTTTTTTTTGAAGTTTCCAAACCAAAAAAAATATTGAAAAACGTAACTTTCCTTTAAAATCCTTAAAAACCCCTTTTAACAGCATTTTTTCCTCAATTTTTTTTTTTAAAACAGTTCTTGATCTTTTTTTTTGGAATTCTTTTAAATTTTTTTTAATTCCCCATTTTTTTCCTATTCTTCTCTTTCCAGAGTCTGGGCATCTTAGCCTCAATACCCGCCGGCCTGCTGATATTATCACTTTTTGGTTTACTCCTATATCTGCTGACACGCTGCTGTGATCGCAAGCCACGAAAGCCCAGTGCCCAACGCTGTCAAAGTTGTACCCTGGTAATAATTACATTAATGACATGCGCTTCAATAGGTTTAGGTAAGTATTCGATTTATTTTCTTGCTGCTGTTGCCCTTAGCTTCTTCTTCCTTCTGTCCCTTCCTTCAAACAATAAATAAGGATAAAGGACCTACACTGCTGTTGTTATCGGCTTGATTACTAATTTAAACCTACAAGTTTTATGAGAATCAAAGAAACTTGTGTCCTCCATGTTCTCTCTTTTTTTTTGCCAAGTCCTTATCCTTGGCTATCCATTTGTTTTTTTTTTTTTCTTGTTGTTTGTCTTTCTCTCCTTCTTCTTCCTCCTCCATTTTTTGTGCCGTTGTCTATGCAAGTTTGTTTTACAACACTAATTAGATAAATTGTCCGTATTTACTCACCGTACAAGGCACACATGCATGTGTCCGTGTGTGTGTCTGTGTGTGTGTTGGTCTCTTTGTCTACCTCAAAGTTCAAGAGTTCATAAAAGTCGATGACATGCATTGAACAATGAAAACATTTTTTCTGCTGTCAATGTTATCCTTCCTGTTTGTCGCAAGACTTATTATAACCTGCGGCACATAAAGACGTCTATTGTCTTGTATTTTTTGATTTTATTCTTTTTGTTTTTGCTTGTTTCCTCATTCTCCGAACCTTATCTATTATCTTTGAGTTATTTTCGTTATATTTTTTCCTTTGTCTTTCCATTATTTTTTTGTTCTTCCTTTCAGGGTAATTTTATTATTTCTATAAAATACAATTATTTTTTTAAGGATTAAGGCCGGGTAGTTGGAGCCAAAAAAATGCCAAGAGTTTAGTTAGGCAAATCTGGTCACCAAAACTGTGCTCGGTTCTGTCCTTCTCTCACACACACACACACACAGATTCAGAGTCACACATAAATCTTTAACTATTGTAAAAATAACACAATTCGAAGAAGCTTGTTGGCAGTTTAACAGACAGCCTGACTGTCTACCCGAGGACATGCAGTGGTGTTGGTGTTTGTTCCGCTGGGATTTTGTTCCTTCTTTCAGTTCGGTTCAACAATCACAGTTATATGGCCAAATAATTCAATTTCAAGTTTTTTAGTTTTTTTCTTCTTCTTCTTCTTCTGCTCCTGCTCGCTTCATTTCAATTTGTATTAATATTTTTTTTTTCGTTCGTAATAATGCTGGCACTAAAATGAAATGAGGACGCCAAAAAGGAGGGAGAATAAAATAACTTTAACTTATTTTCGGATATATAAAAACACAGCTAAGTCCAGAAACTTTAATTTTATTAAAGTCGATTTTGAAGCTATCCTTTCTGGATTTTTTTTTCGGGTGAAAGAGCATTTCTGGCTGTTCAGGGAAACTCTGACCCCTCACCTCACGTATGGAAAAGCGTTGATCCCTAAGCTCGTCTGTAGAGGCGGTCAGCCGTAAATCGGATTCGTAATGTGGTCTAGTTTCAACTCGTCCATAGAGTCAGGCTAATCCCTCAGCTCATCTGTGGAGGAGCGCTGACCCCTCAACTTATCTACAGAGACACGCTGATTCCTCAGATCCTTTATAGTGATACGCTGGCCCCTCAGACAGCCTGTGAAGACAAGCTGATGTCTTAGATCGCCTATAGAGAAACGCTGATCCCCCAGCTTGTCTATGAAAACACGCTGACCCATGAGTTTAATGTAGAGGTACCCTTACCCTTCAGCTAGTCTATGGAAAAGCGCTGATCCATCAGATCGACTGTAGAGGCGCGCTGACCCCTCTCCTCGTCTATGGAGGCACTCTAAATTCACAGCTCGTCTGTAAAGGCACGCTAGCCATTCAGCTTGTCTATAGAGGCCGCTTATTCCTCATCTGGTCTATGGAGGCAACTTGACCTCTTAACTCCTTCATAAAATTACACTAATCCCTCAGCTCGTCTCTGGAGAAGCGCAGACCGCGGAACTCGCCTACTGAGACCGCTGACTCTTCAGCTCCTCTTTAGAATGTGGAGGAACGCTGGCCTCTCAACTCGTCTGTACAGACGCGCTGAGCTCTAATTTTGTTTACAAAAGGAGCACTGACCCTTTAGCTCTTCTACAGAGACCGCTAACTGCTCGTCTCCTCTTCAGAGATACACTGGCCCCTCAGTTTGTCTGTGGAGGAGCGTGACCTCTCAACTCGCCTATAGAGAGGCACTGACCCCTGATTTCGGCTGCAGAGAAGCACTGACCCTTTAGTTCATCTTCAGAGACCGCTGACCCCTCAGCTCCACTTCAGAGACACGCTGGTGTCTCAACTCGCCTTTGCAGACGCGCTGACCCCTTAATCCGCCCACAGAGGAGCACTGATCCTTTAGTTCGTCTTCAGAGATCGCTGACCCCTCAGATCCTCCTCAGAGACACGCTGGCTACACAGCTCGTCTTTGAAGGAGCGTTGACCACTCAACTCGTCTATAGAGACGCGCTGACGCATGATTTCGTCTGCTGATGAGCACTGACCATTTAGCTCGTCTTCAGAGACCGCTGACCCTTCAGCTCCTCTACAGAAATACTCTGACCCCTCAGCATCTCTTCAGAGAAACGCTGGCCCCTCAGCTCATCTGTGGAGGAGTGCTAACCTCTCAACTCGCCGGGGTCGCAGACGCGCTGACCCCTGATTTCATCTACAGAGGAGCACTGATTCTTTAGTTCGTCTTCAGAGGCTCGCTGACCTCTCAACTTGTCCACATGTCTATAAAGACACGCTAATCCCACAATTTGTCTGTGGAGGAGCTGACCTCTCAGCTCGCCTATAAAGACATCCTGACCTATCTACAGAGAAGACTGACCCCTCAGCTTATCTACGTAGCTACGTTAACCCCAAAGCCCGCCTGTAGAGACACAATGGCCCCTCAGGTCGTTTGTGGAAACGCACTGACCTCTCAGCTTCCCTATTGGGTGTTGCGGGAACCTCAGCTTATCTGTTGAGACAAGCTGACTTTTCTGGGTCTAATATACAGACACCCTGAACCCTCGGCTACTCTATCGGGAGCTGGGGGGTCACCCATCTCGGGAGACACGCTGACCTCTTAGCTTATCGCGGGGGCGAGTCGGGGACTTTTCCGCTCATCTATACAGACAAACAGACCCCACAGCACGTCTTTTCATCGACCCTTCATATCGCTTTAAAGGCTTAGTTTTCGTCTCCAAAATCTCCCAAAAATCCGACTCCTTGATTATCCTCTCTGCTCCCTCATCCTGCATCTGTTGCCCCTCCATTTTCCTACAACTGACTTAACAACTTTACCCTTTATTATCCCAATCTCCACCTAACTTAGTTAAGAGTTTACCTAACTCTCTGCCAAAGGCCCTCCACTTCTGTTTCTGCTCTTTTTCGCCCATTGGTGTTATCTAATAGAATCCATAAATCAAAATCCTACCCAGGATTTCGAACATATTTCCAAAATGAAACAACAATATTTCTGTTGACCATTCAGCTGGTGGCTTATGCACTTCTTAATGCTGTTGCTGGAGTTTTTTGTAGATCTTTTTTCTTCTGGTGTTTCGGGGAGCTCGGCTTTTAAATGCTGGCATGTGTTTGCTTTGATTATGATTTCGGCTGTTCCGCTTTTTTTTTTGGTTTGTTACTCCCATTCAGAACACCCACGATTTCTGTTCTGCCATGGTCTAACCAAATAACAGCCACGCAAACAAAAAAAAACGGAGAATACAAAAGAGTGGCAATTGTTCGGTTATTGGTGGCGCTGGCACTCGTGGCCCTAAGAGCGCTGGGAGCTGCATCAGCTGAATTCAGAACATAATTTCCAATTTAAATATTGATTGCATTCGCCGTAGCATTTTTAAGATCATTGACTTTCCCCAAACGGATTCAATTAATAATGGGGTCAATTGATATTGGCATGGCTGTGGCGGCGGACTTATGACAGTGAAATGAAATAAGTTTTATTTTATATTGGAAGCCGCTAAAAGCGACTTCACCTTGCTTTATTTAAATTAGAACTGAAATAATATTATCTTACAAAAATTAACTTAAGGTAAATGAAGAATAAAGTGAGCGTGGGAAAACGCTTAGTAAGCATAATGCACGCTTACTATCTCGGAGCAGTGCGGACAACATACCTCAATAAAGTGAGGGTGTAAAGTTACATACTGAATGTATTGTAACTTGAGTAAAGGCATACTATTAGTTGGATACAGAAGGTATGCCAACTTGGACAAATATGTAAACCAGTATGATACGTTGTCATACGGAAGGTATGGCAACATGGATGAATCAAACACACTACACCTCCCTTTTTAACAAAGAATAATCAACGGTTTAAGTTGATTATTCTTAGTTGAGTTTAATTCGTATAATTTTATAATTCATGAATTTTATTCACATAAATTTACAATTAACAGTCAGTGCTGGCATTATTTAAATTTAGTTATGGTTTATTTTAAAATTACGTTTAATGTTTACAAGTTACTCATATTTGTTTTTTTTTTTTTTTTGTATAAAGACTAATGCTTACATATATATTTAACTTTACTTATTTAATACGGTTACAATTTTTGTTCTATAATATATGTTGTAGTAAATAAAAATTATTACATGAGAATAACGAAAAATAGCAAAAAATTTTTTTTGAACTTAAACGATATCTATAAAATATAATTTATGATTTGTAAAACTCAAATATAATTTTATAAAATTTTGTTGTGGGATCTTAAATTTTAATATAAGTGATTTAATATGTTTTTTTTTTTCATTATTTTACATATATACATATTTTTTTATTAATTAATAGATGTATTCTTATATATTAGTTTACTAAGTCGAATTGAAAAGTTAAATGATCTAAAGTAGATTTAGATTATTGCTATGTATGTATGTTTATATATTATTACTATGTATTACTATATATATGTATGTTTTTATATTATTACTATGTATTACTATATATATGTATGTTTTTATATTATTACTATGTATTACTATATATATGTATGTTTTTATATTATTACTATGTATTATATTATTATATTTTCATAGGTACTGGCCAGTTATCTATGTTTTATGTAAGTTTTATAATTTATTGTATGTATATGC